CTCCCCCCTCCCCCTTGATAATTTATAAATTATTATTATTTTATCATATCTTACACCATCCAATGTCTCCCTCACCCACTTTATTGCAAAATTTTTTGTTGGCTATTTTAGCAACCGGAAAATTCCATTTATTAGCAGTTTCACTTACGTTGTATACCAATAAACTTAATAGTAATCCGGAGGTTCTATTAAGATTGAATTTGCTTGATGACTAAATATTTGGAATGTTTAAATAGAGTAATTTTGTTAATCAAAACATTTTGCTAACCAAAAGATTCCATTTTCTAATCGTGCACTGTACAACTCTCACTGCCATCCAGTCGGTGCTGACTCATAGTGACCCCTGTGGGTTTCAGAGACTGAAGCTCCCTAGTCCTCTCTTGGAGCTGCTGGTGGTTTTGAACTGCTGACCGTGCAGATCATAGTGCAATGCTTAGCCACTATACCACCAGGATTCCATAAGCATAAGCAGATTTGCATTTGAATTTGTGCTGAAGTAATCCAATGCATTTTGTAAATTGTTTCAATAAAACACTTGCTCTAATTAAATTTTATATTTGTCTAATTTATTTTATTATATTAAATCAATTAAACATTTTGTAATGCCTTAAATATTTTTGCAGATGAACAAGAAGATGAAGATGCAATAGTCAACAGGATTTCGTATGTATTTAAAATTTAATTAATTCTGTTTCTAATTCTAAATTTATGATTTTTTTTGTTTCAGAGCAGAAATATGTGGAAAAAACCTCACCTAAATTATTGCATCACCTTTATCAATATTAATTATATTCTGGGAAATAATAGATAAATATTTATGAAAGTTATGAATTAATTATTGATTGCTAAAGTTTTCTTGCTTAAGGATATGACAGATTTATCTTCAGAGTAATTTACAAGGAAATGGACTTAAGTTTGGGAAACTAGGTAAGAAATTATTGGCTGTGTGAATTAAAGCAAGGAGCAGTTATTTATTCTGGTTAATTGAACATTTACCTTTGTGAAGAGGGGGAGGAACCCTCGTTTTTTTAAGTTCCTTATCTCTCTCTCTGCTTACCATAGAAACATTCTTTAATATTTTTTGCAAACTGGCTAAAAACTGAATTCCTTTTTGTCATATTTTGCTTGATTAAAATTAGAAATTAGTCCAAAGTAGTTACATAATATAGTGTCTATATTCCTGAAATTAAAACATTTTATTGGTACTCAACAAATATTAAAATACTGACAAGTGTATAGAAAAATTTGAAGCATACTACAAAGAGCTTTTTTCTTTTGAACTGTTAGGTCATTTGAGAGAGGATAGGGAAAAGGAAATAAGAGAAAGTGGGGTAGAGAGGGAGAGAAAGAGAATATAAATACACATACATACATATGCGCATGAGCCCATAAATAGGCTTACACATACAATGGGGTATGATTTAGCCATGAAAAAGAATTAAGTCCCAATACATGCTATAACGCAGATGAACTTTGAAATCATGTGCTAAATGAAATAAGCCAAAGAGTAAGTCTTATGCTGTGTGATCCTATTTTTGTGCAATCTCTAAAATAAGTAAGCATGTAGAGCCTGAAAGCACGTGGTGGTTATTGGACTCTGGGGAGGAGAAATGAGGAGCAACTGCTTAACATGTACAGCATTTCCATTGGGGGGTGATGTTTTAGAACTTGATAGAGGTGGGATTTACACAACTTTGTGAATGTTCTCAATGTCACGGAATTGTGTATTTTAAAAGTTAACTTTATGCTATGTGAATTTTACTTCAATTTTGTTTCAAAAAAAGCATATAACAAGTAGATGACTCAATTAGGTTTACTTTGATTTGTAACTGAAAAATGAATATAAATGGATCCTACCTTATTAGATTTTTAAATTTATATTATTTTAAATGCCCTGAGGAAGAACAATGAAAATTGAAACATCGTACCGGAAATTCTTGCTTTCTGAGTTTAAATCTGAGGCTAAGACATGTTTAAGTATTTATGATTAGTGTCTTGACTTTACTCTAAAACTGTGATATTTGTAAAAATTCTTAAATAAATCATCATCATTTTCTAAATTACTACGCTTGTAAAGACAGAATAATTCACTTACCTTAAAAAGCTATGCTGAGTCACAGAGTGAATAAGGGATAGAAGTCCTCTAGGTATATAATACATGTGAGATTTGTACTTATCTCCTCTCCATGAAGTCTTTGCACCACTTTCATTGGTCAATCTTCTTAAAATATATTTATAAATGAATAATTTATAAGTAATGACCAAATTAATGTAGTTTTTCACTAAAGATTTTATGTTATGAAAATGTGAATATGGCCATGTAATACATCTGTGTGGCAATTACGTACGAGTGGACTCCATTTCCTTTCCCTGCTTAGCAGAGCACCTAGCACATTGTGTGGGAGTGGTTTAGATTTTTTCTAAGTAGGTAGTTCCTATAGCATGATTATGGGAATGGAGATTGGTGCACAGTTGTAATAAAATTATAAAAGAGAAAAGAAGGGCCACCTAAGAGGGAATTTGGCATATTCTGTGCCCTCAAACTATTTCTTCCTTTGTCTTTCACTTGCTTTTTCTCCCCCTTTTGTGATGGAATGAGTGGGAGATAAAGAATTAGGCAGATCTGGATGAAAATTCTAAGCTTAGGATATACTTGAATCAAGAAACAATTGAGATAAAAGATTAATATTCTCCATTTGTAAAATAGAGACACCATCTTTTTTTTTTTGGCACATAGAAATACTACAAAGTAGGTGATGCTTTATTTTATATATGAGAAAACAATCTTTTTTTCCCCAGATAAATAACGTATTTATAGGCTCCTCAGAGGAAACTCTTAGTGTTGGGCTAACTGAAAGTCATCAGTTCAAATCTTCTAGGTGCCCCATGGGAGAAAGATGAGGTTGTTTGGTTCTGTAAAGATGTATAGCCTCACAAACCATATGGAGAAGTTCATCCCTCTTCTATAGGGCTACTGTGAGTTGGAATCGACTCAACAGCAGTGAGTTTGAAGTTTGATGGGTATATCTGTTTAGAGTTTAGTGTGTGGTACATCATACACAAAATTATTAAATGTTACCTTGTTTATCTTGCATGTAACCCCCTTTCCTTGTCTTCCCTATTTCCAGTGGAGGGAGTTGCATGGGACATGGAGTGAGGTGGTGACAGGCAAGGAATAGGAAGAAATTGAATGAGAGACTGTTCTTAATATGGAGGGAACATATTGGAATCTCCGGCCTTCTGAAGGATTTTAGAAATATTCCTAAATTTAGGTGATCACTAACACCTTTTTGACCACTTGAGAGAAGATTCTTCACAACTAATGAACTCATCTCAAATATCCAAGTCCATTTGAAAAGTTTTCCCTTGGCCTCCTTACCTCCCTTTTAGAACCTAGTTTCTCTTTCTTATCTGCTCCTGAAGTGCTTCATGCTATCTTCTATTTGAATCTATGCTCCCAGCCCACCCCAACAAAAATTATATTTTCTAAGTAGGAGATCTGGTTGGCATAGTGGTTACCTGTTGGGCTGTGATCCTCAAGTTTAGCAGTTTGAAACTACCAGTCACTCTGTGGGAGAAATAAGGGACTTTCTACTCCTTTTTTTAAAAATTAAAATCTCATTATCTTTTCCCAAATTTTT